GAGGAGGTTATTTAGTTGTCCTAACTTCACCAGAACTAGTTTGACTCTGAGGAAGACACAGTGCGTTGAAACGTTAGTCATGGCACCTCAGTAAATTCATACAAGTGTTTGGAGTGCTCCAGTCTCGTCCTTTCATCTGTGTATAATGTCCTCTCTGAGAGCACCAACCTTCGTTCATAGAGGGGCCGAAGCGCGAGGGATTCCTTCATTTTGTGATTTATTTACAAATATTTACATAATGATGTGAACACCGTTAATGATTATCATACAGTTTCCACTTTTCTTTATCAAGTATTATCAATGAAATTTCTTTAGATCATTGCTTCATAGGTCAATACTGTAATGTATTCCTGATTTAGGAGTTATTTTTTACTTCTCAAGTAACAGAAGGATACACTAGTTCAAAATTAATGCATGATGCAATTCATCATAAAAGGAATTTTAATGCATTTCATATGAATTTAATTTCAGAGCAACCATGAAAATGCTGAGATATCATTTATTTTCCATGTTTTATTTATGACCATTTATAAGCAAAAGATGCGCAGTGACTGTTCTGCAGTGGGTAAATAAAATTTTATAAAAAGAGGAAAATTTTTTTATGGCATATAAGGTGCAAATACAATGTACCAGCCATATTTCTCTTTGGTGACCCTCATGATTGAGCTCCATGGCAGCAAACCTTGCAATTATATCCAAAATAAGTTTCTGAGTGAAAAAAACTAAATACAATCAATATTTGTTGTGACTGTCCTTTGCCTAAAAATTAGGTACACCATCCTCTAATTCTATAGTTTTCTAAGATGATTGGCTTCTTGCTTGTTCCAAGCATACTAAAGTACTTGCCTAAGCTCTTTTGCAGACTTGTTTCTGTCTCTTCTGGCAATCCCAGACATCCTTGATGATATTGGGATCAGGGCTCTGTCAAGGCTATATCATCTCTAACAACTCTCCCTACTGAAATAGACATTTTTGCTAAATAATTTTTTTTTTTACTGAATAACTGGTATCTTTAAAGTGCTGTTAACGTACACAATACATAACCAGATAACACTTTGGTGGAAAAATAACATCTATGACCAAACTGAAAAAAAAAAAAAAAAAAAACAAATCTATGGTGCCTAATATCTGTAGATATCCTGGTCTCTGTATTTTATTTTCTTGGACCCTATCATTGACACTGAGTGGGATTCACAGTAGAAGTCCCGAGAGCAGGATGATAAATCCATTTCTTTTGCATTCAGGGAAGGTCAGAACACATACGTGGAATTTATTTCAACTGAGCTGAGTTTTCTTTCCAAGGTCTCGCTCAAGGTTAGTAATCCTATGCATATTCATTGTTGCCTTGTGCTCAAGTTGTGCTGGGTTATATCACACATTTTACTGTTCCAAACTCAAAGTTTGCATACATATCTCTCCAGCTTCTGACACTGGGATGAGGCTGAACACATCAGTATCAAAAAATGTGAGCCAACACTTGAAGCTTGCGTGCATCACCAGATTCATCATTGGAACCAAAAGGTTTGCTGCATGCTGTGGATGAGATTTTGATTAGGTCCTAGAAGACCAGATACATTTACTAGAGGATATGATAAACAGTGAACACCACAATTAATTGGACATTGACGTTTTAATTGTTGTTTTGATTCTTTTGGCCCAGTAAATTACTGATCCGAATTATTGAACTTTTATTATCCCCTGGCATATAATGCAGGGGAAAATAGTCAGGGGTGCAGCTGTCTGTCTGTCCATCCGTCCATCCGTCTGTCTGTGAACATTTCGTTTCTGGAGCATAACTTGAAAACCGTTAAGAATATTTTTCCACAAAACTTGGTGTGCAGATTAATCATGACCTGACGTGGTGCCTTTTGCTAATCCGAAGTTGATGACGTGGGGCCGGGCGCACATGCTATCTCCTGATGGCTCTTGTTCAACAAGCTGGAGAGGAAACAGATGACAATGGCAAGCAAAAACTGAACATGGCAGCAGGGCAAATCTAGCTGAACATCACAATGGAAGAACTTCTGGTGATTTATATATATATATATAATCACATTGTTAGAACGGAAAAATAGTATGGCATTTACTGTTATTCAAATAATTTCCCTCACTGGCCCCATCCTAAGTTATTCAAATAACAACCTTCATTGCCCACATCATTGCCCCCATCCCGACTTTTTTTTTTTGGAATTCTTTGCCGGCCTGAATGGCAGGAATTGATATATTATTACAAATAAAATGAAGTTGACCAAACAAAGCAGAAAATATGGTGTGTTCTTCTGTTTGCACTGAAATACGGGTCAATGTAAATTAAAAAATTAAAAACATAAAAAAATAAGAAATCACAGCTTTCTGTTTTAATGAGCATTCTCCAGATCGTCCCAGATTTTTCCGAGCTGGGCTTCAACTTAGTTGGGATAGATGGTTCAGTGATGCATGGAGCTGTGAAAAAAAGGAAAATAACTTTATTAAAATTGCAAGTCTAAGTAAAGGACAAATTTAATTTTGTTTGGAGGATTAGATTGAGAGCCAAGACGCTAATTGATCCTGTGTATGTCCTGCTTGGTCTTGAACAATGTCTGAAAGGAAAAGAAATCTAATTTGAACATTCCTGTTGTGAGCATCTAGATTTTATGATACAGCCTTTTTTCAGCCCGCACATAAATAGAGTGCTTACAATTGACTCATGAGCTGTGTCACATTTTTTCAAATTTTAGTCTAATGCAATATACTTTATTTGCTGTGGTTTGTCTTGTTTAGTATATTTCAGTGGGCAAGTAATATGCCTTGACACATTTTTCCTCTAAACCAATACAATGAAACTGTTGTAGTTGAGAAATATTACTTCTGAAATGAATTGTTGTCAAATTGCTTTTAAAATAGTGCAACATTTGGTTTCATTATCTTTATGAAATCATGTCACTCTCGGAGAAAGGAATAAATTATGTAATTCTTATAGTGCAGGTATAAGTCTTGCAATTATTTTATGTTAAATAAAGGAACAGCAGCCTCCTTGCATTGAAGCAAATGGAAGAGAATGCCTGAATTTGTTTATCATGATATATCCAAGGCATATCCATGAGGCAACTAAGCCACTAAGACTAGCCCTTCAGAGCTTTGGTTTGCTCTCAAACTATCGATTAGCTCTGATCAAAAAATCAGACTTGCTCAGTCTGATTTTGTCCATGTGCTGAGACTGTTAAAATAAAACCAACTCTGGACCAACTCTGCCTGGACGAAAACTTACTCGCATCTCCACTTTCAAAAAACAATAACATAAAACATCTTAATGACAGTAAAGGTAGAACTCTTACTTTACCACAGGGCAGACTAAAGTTCAACAAACTGAGCTTGGTTCGTTGAATTTTACACAGATAAGATGAGCAGTGGCTGTGGGAACATGAGGACAATGGCCTCTATAATATTGTTATTATTCTACTGTAGCTCATAATCTGCCCTAGACTAGAACTGTAAATAGATGACTAGTAAAAAGAAAAACATGACCATGAGATTTTTTCTTGCATGCCTCATTATTTGGAGTTTGAATTTTCAACCCAAAAGGAGGCTCCATTGCCAGTGATGACATGCATGTAACAGGCCCGGCGCTAAAACAGGGAATTGGGCGGGGTGGGCACAGACACGTCCCTTTATGACAATTAGGATATTCCATGACACGTTTTCCAATTATCGTAATTGGCAACTGAAGACACGGTTTCTCTCCATATGCGATCTAACTGCGATGAAATCATGGGGTAAACTCAGTAGAACTGAGAATTGGGTTGGACAAAACATCAGTTTCAAACAATTATTAGTCCTGACCTGTTCTCAGTCATTTTCATGATTAACAAAAGGTTCACTCTGAGAGCACTCCACACTTAACAGGTGCTGCTTGTTCTCCCCGATTGGGTAGGACGACAATCATTCATCTGGACGTGTATTTGCTGAAGTTAAATCAACGTTATTCAAAATTGCATACCTGCGCAAATAGCTCAAGCCGCATGCTTTTTATAGCCTATTTCACTGCCGAGTGCCACTTTTTTTCACTCAATACCGAGAGTAATTTTGAATAACGTTGATTTAAATTAAGCAAATACGCGTCCGGATGAATGATTGTCATCTTACCTAATCGGGGAGAACAAGCAACACCTGTTAAGAGTGGAGTGCTCTCGGAGTGAACCTTTTGTTAATCATGAAAATGACTGAGAACAGGTCAGGACTAATAATTGTTTAAAACGGATGTTTTGTCCACCCCAATTCTCAGTTATACTGAATTTACCCCATGATTTCATCGCTGTTAGATCGCATATGGAGAGAAACCATGTCTTCAGTTGCCAATTACAATAATTGGAAAACGCGTCAATAAAGGAAAACGTTTGAGAACTAGCCAGGACTATCCTATTTGTCATAAAGGGACATGTCTGTGCCCCCCCAATTCCCTGTTCTAGCGCCGGGCCTGGCATGTAATGCACTGAAAAATGTTGTAATTGTGGACATTTTTGATTATATGTTTGCAAATTAAAATGTCATTATTTGACAGTCAAGCCCTGTTTCAGCAGCTTAACAGTTATTTTTTTTTCTTTTTCTGTTGCCATAAGTGCTATCTCTTTCTGTTGATGGAAGCTCAAAATAGTCAGAAATGCTAGCCACCACAGCCAACACTGCACAAGAACATCACAGAACACTGTTTTAAACACTTTTCATAAGCAGTTTTTAATACATTTTGCTATGTTTAGAATTTCTATTGATACTGCTTCATATTATGTGAATGTATTTATAATTGTAAACAACAGCATCTAACCTAAATACTAACACTTTTTTTTCCACCATGGTCATTTCAGCCCATAGGAAATTAATAGCAACCTATCAATAAACAGTAACAACAACAACAGCAAGAAAAACAATACGGACTACGGACTTTGGACTATGGACGTTAAAAATAAAGCTAGCGATACACACCAGAATATATAGTTATCAACACCACCAAAATCATCTACAGAAGTGTTCTCGTGGTGCAGTGGGCAGCACTGTTGCCTCACAGCAAAAAATGGCCGTGGGTTTGAATCCAGCCTGGAACCTTTCTGTGCAGATTTTGCATGTTCTCTCTGTGTTTGCATGGGTTTCCTGTGGGTAATCTGGCTTCCTCGGAAAGTCCAAAGATATGCAAGTCAAGCTGATTGGAGACTCTAAATTGCGCATAGGTATGATAGTGTGAGTGAATGGATTGTGTGCCCTGTGATGGATTGGTGAGCTGTGCAGGGTGTGATCCTGCCTCGCACCCATAGTCAGCCGGGACTGGCTCCAGCTCCTTTGCAACTCTAGAGAGGAAGAAGCAGCTTAGACAAGAAAGAGACGGATGGATGTTCATCATATGTAAAGTGTACAGTCCAACATAATCCGACACAAAAGTGGCTCTGAGACATCACAGCAAAATGTACAAATTAAACACACATTAACAAACAAATGCAAGCACAAGGAGTGAAATATAATCAACCAACCATCAACTACCATTGATTTCAATAGTCTGTTTTAAAAGGAAATGCTCCACATGAACAAGTCATCTTGCTGAGTTAGAGCTCCCAGATCCCAATTTAAAAATGCTAGTGCTAGATGTCTGGCTGTGAAAAGCAAACATAACCAATAAAAACAGAGAGGAATAAAAGCCTTATTAACCTGTTAGTCTTTAATTATTACAACCCAAAAACATTGTCCAAGTATGAAAACAAGTCAGGTTGTGATCATGTTCTGGCGTTCACTTAATAGCAATGACTAGAACAAAAGGCTTTGACATAAACTGTTAAAAAAAAATTCAGGGAACACTCAATCATCATACTATAACACCAAGTCAGTTAAACTTCAGGGATAATCACTCGGCAAACCTCAGCCGATTCGTTCTGCGTCAAAACTCGGATGTGTGACTGCGGAAGCCATTAGCCGGAACTTTTTTTTTTCTGGATAAACATGGCGGCGTCCAGTGGCAGCAGCGCTGGGTTTGATGTCAAATTGGTAAAAACATTGTGTTGCCTCTTGTGTCAAGACATGAAGAAGCATCACCACACATAGATTTTGAGATGGTCAGTTTTGCCTCTACTTTTAGGTGGCAATGCAGTATGCGGTTTTAGACAACTGCGTAAATAGGTCTTCTGGCAAAGAAAATGTCAGGCGGAGCAGCATATCAACTTTCTGTCACACATCCGAAGCTTGATGAAGAGTAGCGGAATCTGCCGACAAGTTCCAAGCGGGATATCAATCTGTTCATTTAGGAAGCATAAGTGATTATGAATCAATTTCACCTGCTTTGGTGCAAATGCAATTGACAACAGGTGCAATGGAGAGGCAAAAGTAAGACCATTTCCAAAAAGGGAATGGTTGTGCATGTGGTGGCCACAAACAATTTATCTCTCCTTATTCTTCCTGACTGCTTATTCTCTAGTTTTGTGTTCCGCTAGTGTCCTTGTCACAACTGGTAGCATGAGGCTGTACCTGCGGCCCAATCAGGTTGCACGGGAAGTACAGCTCCTCCAGGATGGCACATCTATATGTGCAGTTGCCAGAAGGTTTGCTGTGTCTCCCAGCACAGTCTCAAGAGCATGGAGGAGACACCAGGAGACAGGCCATTACATGGGGAGAGCTGGACAGGGCCGTAGAAGGGCATCAACCCAGCTGCAGGACTGGTATCTGCTCCTGTGTGCAAGAAGGAACAGGATATACAATGTACATCAGTAACGATTTTCAACTTGAACAATTCGTTCATCAAGATCTGATTTGCGATTTAAGGGGTCTTCAGGGTAAAGTGTAGAAAAAAACCATAATAATGCAAAAACTAAGAAATAAATATACTCAACATGATTTTAACCTCATAAAATGAAGTATTCTGATAAAAATTTACTTGGTTGCCATGTAATGACAAAATCTGAAAATATTTTGTGGCACTGATATTTCAATAACCAATGGTCAATTTTTCTCAAATTAGTCTCATATGAAAGGTTTAAGATAGTTCTATGAAATAACATAGGATTTTTTTTTGTTTGGAACATTTATGAATATTTAATGAGCTCTGTTATGTAACCAGAACGAAAATCGCTATCATCAACTTGCTTCATTTTCAAAATTAACCCCCTAGGGATGCACCTATCTATAAAATCCTGTGTCATTTCATAGATCTCCAACAGATACAACTTCAATCCAAATTTCAAGTCAATCAGATGAATATTAATGATTTTATGAATGCCACCAGGTTGAAAATCAGTCAAAATTGTGATTTTTGGCAATTTGCATTTGAAGTCACAAGTAACAATTGAGGCAGAGGAAAAACATAGATTCTTGGTGTTTACTAGCATCTCACTGCATTCCTTTGTTTATTTTATGTGAGAATCAAAAATATTGAAATTTCTGAAGAAAAAAAAATTTTTTACCCTGAAGACCCCTTAAGTGTTCCCTTAATTTTTTTTTCTTTTTGAGCATTTTGTTTATTTTTAAGTATTATTTATAAATCACACCTTATTTATGTAGGAAACTATCAGCAGTGTGCTCCAGAATTACTATCTTCTCTGTCTAGAGATGGACCAAAACTGCAACATACTTTAAAGGAAAACAAGTTAAAAATAACACTGTAGGTCTAAATTCAAAATGCCAACATGAAAGAAATATTGTACTTTATTAACATTTCAATGGAACTAACCAAAATTATTCATTTAATTTGAAATTCATTTCCTCAAAATGAGGGTTTTACAATTAATGGCACCCCTCGTTTAGTACTTAGTGCAACCAGCTCAGATGAGAACAGCACGGAGTCTTTCCTGAACTGTTTAACAAGGTTATGGCACACAATTGGAGGAATTTTCGAGCATTGCTCTGTGCTGATCCTTTCAACATCAGTCACATTCATAGGCTTGTGCTCATCAACTGCCCTTTTCAATTCTGCCCACAGGATTTCAAGCGGACTGACGTTTGATGACTGAGATGACTGTTGTACTGCAATTCATTTGTTGTTGTGGAACCAATTCAGTGTGGATTTTGGGTCATTCTCTTGCTGGGAAGTCGAGATTGTTTGAGGCTTAATTGGGGAGACACCACAGTGTACATTCAACCTGTGCCCTAAAGAAAGGCAACAAAATCACAATGCTTTTCGTAAGTTGCAGAAGACTGTGATTCCCCCACACAGTTTTTTTCACAGCTGATGTGTAATAAAGAACCTGATTGCAGAGACCAAGAACATGAGTGTGAGTGAAAGGAGAGATGGGAGATATGTGGTCCAAATAGCTTCCAGAAACGGCGCTGACGGTAGTGATGTGACTTTAGACTCCCAAGATGGATTCTCTGACTACCAAGAGAACTCTTAGTCTGTATAGCACATATTGCTTCCATACAGCAATGATGCAGTGGAAAAAACCTAAGGAAAAAAAAAAATACTTCAATCTGTTAAATTGTAAAAGTCACGCAAAAGCAGCCAACAGTTACAAATAAACAACAAAAAAAAAAAAAACAGCTTTTTGTCAGAAATTGGTATATCTTTCAAAATCGCAGGATTCTAATTAAAACATGTTTTGCTTTTACACTGTTCCTAGTGTTTTCTGAAAAATGTGCTACCGGATGAAGCAGAGAGAAAAAAAAAATTGAAGACAATGCTATAGACATAGCGCCTCATTAATCAAGGTTGTGCAGAAATGAGTGCAGATTTGGGCATCAGGAAAAAAAGTAAAAGCATCAGGGAAAACAAAGTACAAACGAACACCTCCACGCGTGAAATATTAAACAGTCACTCCTCCTCAGAACAAGCAATGAGATAATCACAAATGGCTAAATCAATGCCAGCCATGAACACAAGCTGTATCATGCCAGTAAATTGTCATCTACATGCTCTGATTTTTTGTCATCTGCATGTCATTTCAATTTTTTTAAAATATAACAGACCCTAATGATAACCATGTGACAGCTAAAAAAAAGGCCTTTCTAGTCAAAATGAAGCAGGCAGCAAGAGAAATTTCAGTGAGTGAAATTGAGATGCTTGCCAATTGGGGGGGGAGATATGTTTTAAGCAATTTCAACAAATTTTAGTCAACCTACTTGGTTACTTTGGCTCAGAAATGGACATTATTTGTATTGTCAATTCATAACAAGCAACGCACAATCTTAACAGATTGTACAGGACCAAGAAATTCAACAACTGAAAAGCCAACAGTACTGCATGAGGCTGAAATTCCGCGTGTAAACTAAATTATTCGTACCCAGCCAGAATAATTTGATGGGTTGAGTATCCAGCTAACTAGCTACAGAGTTACATGAAAAACGGGCAGCTCAACGTCACGGTTGTCATATAACCTTGGCTCTGTAGTTAGCGAGCTGGATACTGAACGCGTCCAGTGGAAGCATACGCAATTAACATTTGCGCAGTACACTTCAACAAAGCCAGAAACGCTAAACAAACATCTCTAGCATAACTATTGGTGAAATTGAGCCTTTATCAGGTTTTGACTGAAGCGCTAATAATTTTATCAACATGCTAGCTTGCTTGGTTAGCAAGCTTGCTGATAGAAGCAATGGGCAATCCAAATGGATTGTACAGGACTGTCCGATGCGGTGAATTTTTGCAACGTAATTTAGTATGATGCAACTTCACAGATTTAACCAAATTTCCATCAGCTCATTTCCTTTACAATATTTGTTAATGTGCAAAGTTAGAAGGTTATGACTAATGTCATTCTTGAGTTATTGAGCGAGAAAGGATCATGACTCACTCATTCACTCACTTACTTCCACTATGGCCATATTAGCCTGCTATCGCAGGGAAAAACTTTTTCAAAAGTAAAAAGATTTTCTACTTGACATGCAGATTGCAAAAAAAGTGGCCAGACCCAAACTTGGCTGACAAAATTTGTATGGTTATGAACAGAAACTTCCCTCAAAAGACTAGCCCAGCACATAGAGCCTCACCCCAGTTGAGGAAAAACAGCCAGCACTATTAGGATTGTGTCAGTAACTGGGATATCTGAGGATGGGGGAGACCCAAAAGAAACTGCTGCTCATGCTGAGGAGCACTCTTCAGACAGTATCTTGTACTAAGATTACTTTTTTCACC